CCCAAGAACCAGAGGCACGGACAAGAGCGGTGTAGTGGCCAGGAGTATGTAGAATATAGGCACAAACATGCGAACAGTGGTCCGGGTCGCCACCCGAAGGGGCACGCTGCATATCAAGCCGACGCCTTATCAAAGCAGTCTCCAAAACAGAGACATTGAATCCCCCATGTCGAGTGTAATTACTATCCTGTGGGGGATGCAGAGCCGGGTTATCGCCATATAACTCACGTTCCTGAGCATCAAGATCGGACGCAATGGCCAAGAAATCAGAGTGAGTATATGGTTCCCGACGATAGGCTTGGAGGCAGATGTTAGTAGCAGCGAGGCCACACAGATTCGGTGGAGGCCGGTCAGGCGGATTTTCTACAGAATCTCCTACAGTCCCCTTGCCAAGTTCATCCTCAGATGGTCCCTCGCCATCATCCCTCCCRTTTTGTGTTTGCMRYRTTGCAGAAAGGTCTGTAGTCGAAGAGCGTTGCAGGCGTGGTAAGGATGCTTGGGGCGGCAAAAGACGGGGACGGGATGTTGGGGAGGGCCGTGGTGGGGAGAATATATATATCGTCACAAACAGAACTGCCCGGTAAACCGTAGGCAGAGAGAGAGAAGAGGACAACAAACGAGGGGCTGTGACAAACTGTTTTGTATCATCAAACAGAGCTGCCCAGTAAACCGTAGGCAGAGAGGGAGAAGAGGACCACAAACGAGGGGCTGTGACAAACTGTTTCGTCGGAGTTTCACCGACTCGTCAGGACGTATATATATAGTCACATAGTCATCAGAGCGCAAAAGCGAAAAAAGCAAAAGGAAACAAAAAAGATATCAATTCATTTTCTTCTTACTTACAACTCCCCCTGTTCAAAACCTCTTGCGTACAAGGCCGCCCACGTGGATGTAGGTTGAGCAGCGGCTGCCCCCACCCCCGTGTGCCATATCGACCCACTTGCACACAGCCAACGGGCAAAGAGGCAAAGAAAAGAGGAAGGGAACAACCAAATACAACAAAACAGGGGGCAACAAGCAGCAGCACCAAAAACGGATCCTAGATGACAATTCCCACATGCAAGCACCGCCCCTCCTTCACAGGCCAAATGACGGGACAAGACCACCCAGGACAAAACTCTTGTCTGCAAAAAAAACTATATACAGCAGATGGCCTTATTCGTCATCAAGACGTGGGTATTCCCATTCCTAAACCATTCATACTCTCATATTCCGAACAAAAAAAAAAAACGGATGATATATATATACATATATATATGATATATATATATCGTCACAAACAGAACTGCCCGGTAAAACCGTAGGCAGAGAGAGAGAAGAGGACAACAAACGAGGGGCTGTGACGAACTGTTTCGTCGGAGTTTCACCGACTCATCAGGAGGCTGAACCCTCAACAGTCTGCAGAATCCCCTCACTAATTACACTGTAAATGATAATCTACCTTAACCAAAATCAAAGTAGACTATCACTCACCCACACCAGATGGAAAACTCTACAGACTGTCGGTTCACACCCCATCACAAGCCAGCAAAATATATATATCGGCAAACAGAGCTGCCCGGTAAATCGTAGGCAGAGAGGGAGAAGACGACAACAACCGAGGGGTTGTAACAAACTGTTTCGTCGGAGTTTCACCGACTCATCAGGAGGCTGAAATATATATATATATATATATATATATATATATCGTCAAATATATATATATATCGTCACAAACAGAGCTGCCCGGTAAACCGTAGGCAGAGAGGGAGAAGAGGACAACAGACGAGGGGCTGTGACAAACTGTTTCGTCAGAGTTTCACCGACTCATCAGGATAGTTTGACGATGTATAGAAGGAATTTCGTCCATCTGGTTCATTGGATTCAAACTCATGTCTGCTTTTCAACAGTTTTTGGGTGTCCAAACTGAGCTAAGCCCTTTGGTTGTTCTTGGCCATATATAAACCAGAGTGTAGGATAGAAACAACCCATTTAATAATATGTTTATAGTTTGGACTTCGAAAGGAGAAAACTACCTCAGTCAGAGTGTAGGTTAGCATCTTTACCATGTCCAGGCGTATATCACTGATTCACTGGGCTAGTTCTGCATTTCCAAGACCTGAGCGCCCGGTTGACATCTACTTCTCCCAACAAAATACTAGGTGGCCACAAGAATTATGTGCAGACATGAGGGTGCACTATGTTTTCTATTCTTTTCTACCGATGTAGCTTCTCTTTTCGTTTGTATACGTCTTGTAAAAATATCGTATATATTAACAAATTAATAATGAAATTCTCTGTAAAATTGGTTTACTAACTTTACTTCGCAATGTTTGCATCAACCTTCTAGTATTAGCCTATTTGGTACATCGATACATATTTCTATGCTGATAGCCTGATAGTACTGATATCCATCTTTCTGATGTTTACTACCATCTTACCCCGAACATAACGCATCCTGAAAATGACGATATACAAGATGTTTCTGGCCCGATACAGTCGAAATGAGGGTGCATTGTGTTCGGGGGAAGACAGTAGCTTTTTGGAGGATTATGATACATGGTGAACTCCTTGAAGAGACAGAAAAAGAATCTTAAGATAGGAAGGGACAAGGGGAGGGAGGTAGTGAGGTAGTGAGGGAAACAGGGAAGACAACCCCACAGATTTCTGGACATGCTTACCTTGATGCATTCATCATCATACAAAATCTTGACCGGCTGGTAAAGGTACTTGATCTCTGTTGTTGAACAACCAATGCAACATGATAGACGATCAGCTGAACAGCCCGCTTTTCGTTGCTTTTCAATCTTTTTTATCTTCGTTTTGACTGATAATCAAGCAGGAGTTGTGCTAATGCAAAACAACCACAGCAATGCATCCTCAAAAGCTGCAGCGGCACACAAAGCATACAGAAACACACACACACACACACACACACACACACACACACACACATGGGTGATGAGAGGAGCATGGCGAAGAAGAGGAGAGGGAGAAGGGGGAAGAGGAGAGGAATGGGAAAATGGGCTACTGTGTTATGAACATGATTGTTTGTTGAAATTTGATCAACACTCACTCACAAGAACTCCCGTACACGCCCATACATGCACAGAAGGAGGGGGAGAGGTAGTGGAGGGTCACACTGCCCTGAAAAGAAAACGTCGCGGAAGACTCGAAGAAGCGAAGTGACAGAATACACAATTCAGTGAATTCTCTCCACAGAATTCCCAACAATCATTCATAGAAGAGAACCAAATGATCACAGCCAGAAATCAATGAGGAGATGACAACTCAAACACAGTATTACAACTGTTTATTAAACTCAGAGCATCGTTCAACTGAAATGACCTCAGAACCCTGTTGCGCTACCCTCAGAGGGGTAGCGCCTCAACCCCACCACCCGGAACAGCTAAAAATAGCACCTAAACCCCAGGTAACACCCAGCGCCACCCTGACATCCAACTCAGTGGCCTGCGCCACAGTGAAACAGGCTCCCAAAGCCAATCACCCCCCAGATGATGAAGAAGAAGCTCAGCGCCAACAGTCCCTGATGAAGATGAAGTCCAGACGACGATAATCTCTGAGAAGATGCAGCTATGGCTGCATCGGCACTGGGACCCTACTCTTGACGAGGGTCAGCAGTGCACCACGTGCTCCAACGCATCAGACCTCTGATAGCCCAGACCGCTTTGACTCCCCGAGAGTCAGAGCGGACAGCATTGACCCCAGTCTGGTCAGCGCTCCGTAGGTCTGGCTATGTCCGCCGTCTCCACCACCAGAATCAGCAACCACGACCTGATACCGTGTGCACAGCAACCTCCACCTCGAAGTGTCAACTGCCAAAAGCCCAGGACCGATGTCCCCATCCTATCTATACCCTGAACTAGCCTAGACACGACCTAAACCGGACTGACTGATCGACCGGTATCGTTCCTGTTTCGGCCTCTCCCTACCCGGCTGTAGGCTTTAGGACCGTCTATCAGCGTAGGCCCATTAGGCCTGTCTGTCCTAGGGGTAGCCCGGGTCTGCGATTCGCAGTTAGGGTAACTGTAGGAAATTCGAGTTAGTACTGGGCCCATATCTCCTATATTTACAAATATGTCCCTCACGATCCTTACAGGTAGGTCTCTCGGTTAGCCCTCAGCCAAACAAAATTACGAATCTGTCCCTACCTATGGTACAGCCTCATCTGAGAGAGGCTACAGGCAACCTGGAACCAGCAAATCATTGCAACTGTCTTCACCTGAATTGAATGTAATGTTGTATCCAGACTGAAAGATGCTCCAAATACAACAATAATGACCGTATGTTCTATTCGGGTGAAGACGGTATCAGATGCAGAGTACAGGAGCATATAGGAACGACTATTGCGAAGAACGAAATGACTTTCTTTGTTTTCAGCCTGAGACGTCTAGAGGCAGCGGAGGAGGAGAGGAGGTAGATGAGAAGGAGAAAAAGAGGACGTGGAGGACAGAGAAGAGAGGAGAGGGGGGGGGGGGGGGGGGGGGGGGGAGGAGAAAGGAATGGGAAAATGAGCTAGTAGATAGACAACACCGGACCTGATGATACGTTTATTAGGAAGAATGAAATGACCTGCTACGACGTCTGAGCTTCTGCTGAGTTTAATTCAAAATTTTCTATTTTCTAAGCGTTCTTTCTTTTTCAAAACGGTGACAGCCTCAAGATATCATCTTCAAAGTTCAAACTGACAAGCCCTAGGTAAATTTGGAGTCATTTACTCATATGAGCCCACTGCGATTCGAACTGAGGTCCGTTGTTGAGCGCATCGGTCCCGCAGGGGGGACCCTGCCGGGCGCGTCACGCAATATTTTCGCAGGACTTTCATTCGCAGTGTGGTGCTGCTCCGGCCGAGTGCACCAGCCCTACCTCTCGCGAACCCCTACGACAGTTGCTTTGAGCTCGCTTGTGTGTTTTGTGAGGGTTGCTTGGGATATACTTTTGATAGCTTAGTCGCTTTAGATGCTCGCCATGTGCTGGAGCCATAGGAGTTAAGTTGAATTTTCATCTTTCAAAGTTAAGGTGTTCTGACTGTATATTCCAATTTATATAAATTTTGGAAAGGCACTTTTGCTGGGAAGTGCTGCGGAAATTCTACAAATCCAAGGAGTCAGTCAAATTTTATTTTTGCAAAATTCAACTTTTGATTTAATGGGAGATGCTGCCAAAATTTTCCTTCATTTTTTATATCAATCAGAGATCGGTTTAGATTTAGTCTTATGAGGAGTTGGAGTGAGATGTGATATGGGGTTTACTCTCCATACATTTAAATATATCTTGGGATACTGGCCTGTGTTGTGTTACAGTTCCTCATCGTTCACTTCAACTCAGGGTTGGTTAGTTTCAGCCTGATCCTACGAGGATCATCTTCTGATACTTTTTGATAACAGGTCGATTTCTGGCTCAACTCATTCTCGCGTCTCAACCTAATGGTTTAGCCCCCGTGGGTCGAATTGTTTCTTTGGGTTCTTACCCGGACCTTTATTAAATGGCCATTTAAAAAGGATTGATTATGATTGAGTGCTTTCTTTTGGAAGGTTGGACAAAGGTCCTACTTGTGTGAATAAGGCAGGGGGTGCGAGTGCAGAGAGTGGTTGAAGTTAACTCGATGTAGTATGTGGTCTGTCAATGTTGAATCTTTATGTGATTGAAGGTATGTTTGTGATTTTGGAGTCAGGATTTGACTTGTCGACAATCATTCGCATATTTGGAAGGAAGTCACACTGTGATGTGAGAGTGATCGCCTTGTGTTTAATAATCTCACTATGTTTATACTCTGTGTATTCGCACAATCTGCTTTGACCATGCGCGAGTGTTGAGTGGATTTGGGATGAGAGAATAAGGAGATCACCTTTGATTTTGCTTACTAAGTTTTATAGTTGGACGTTGAGGTTCGTGGCAGCTGCCAAAATCAAAACCCTTGACATGCTCCAAGGCCTTCGAAGATGGAGCCTCTTCCCAAGAGTTGGGGGCGTTTGCCGCCACGAAGGGACGAAGCCTGCCTACCGCTCCTCTTCGCAGTGTGCGAAAGAGGGTTGGACTGAATGCGATTGTCTAGCATTATGAGAATAACCTCTCAAGACGTATGTCAACCGACACTTGGATCGAAAGCGACTCTCAAGACCATTGAGGACCACATGGTTATGGGCATCGTATAGTAAGACATCATTGCGACTGCTTGGGTATTCATGCATGGCTAGTTGATATGATAAAGTTTGCGTCGTTGTGCTATTAATCAGAGCCTCGCACGTAACGCCTGTTTATTCTGCCATCGAAATGTTATGGATTAAAAATGAAAAAAAAGACTAGCCACGATTTACGTGTGAACTTGGGTTTATTAATTATTGAAAAGTATATCACGTGGTTAGATTGACCGTCCTAGTCGACAGGCATAGAACCGCGTTTGGGAGATCTGCCCCCAGAGCGTCGGTTCACACACCAGTCCGATTAAGGAGTCCACTTTGCATACCCCCTATGCTACAACGAACGAGAAACGCTGTCGGCTGGGCCACCACTACGATTGCACTCGAGAAGCTTTCAGATGTGGTTCAGTAGCTCGACGGGGATACACCTACCTAGGGAGGTGACAACTCCCACGGGTAGAGATAAGTTGCTTTGCGTGACATCTATCCTATCGTAGGGGTTCGCGAGAGGTACGGCTGGTGCACTCGGGTGGAGCAATACCGCTCTGTGAAAGAAAGTCCTGCAAAAATCCTGCGTGATGCGGTCGAGAGGGTTCCCCCTATGGTACTGATGCGCTTGACACCGTATTTCAACAGTTCGTGGGTGTATCGATTGAGTTAGACCCGATCATTCTATTTTCTAAGCCTATTCTAAGAGATCTGCATATTCTTTCCGACTTTCAAGTCTAAGAGATCTGCATATTCTAAGCCTTTTTTTTCTTTTTTCTTTAAATTGCAGTATTGTTATTTATTCAATTTTATTGTTACTACCTCCCTATGTTAGGGTTTGGTAATTCTAAATTTATGCGCATGCTGTCGTCCTCGGCATCCTGAGAAGATTTCAGGTTACGAGAAGTCGGACACTGACTTGGCTGCTCCTGTTTGCCAGTCCCGACAAGGGTTATGCCTGCCAAAGTTGACACTGTGAGGGTTGAGACAAAAATTTGGCCCGGACTTTGGAGGAAGAAATAGGTTACTGGCGGACAAAATTGTAACTTGGACTCAGTAAAGATATAGTGATATCTTGTATGGGATCCGCAAATGAATACTCTAGTTCCATCGGGCAGTACGCCTTCCCCGAATAGAACATACGGTCACTTTAGTTGTATATGGGGCAACTTTCATACAACAAAAATGACTGTACTTTATATTCGGGGGAAGATGGTAGGACTGAAGTGGTAGGCCCCTGGTGTATACCATGTCCAGTACTCTTACACATACAGACAAAAAAAATGTGTGTGTGTTTGTGTGTGTGTGTGTGTGCGTGTGTGTGCGCACGTGCGTGTGGGTGCACGCGTGCGTGTGCGTGTGTGCGTGTGTGTGTGTGTGTGTGTGTGTGTGTGTGCCTGCGTGTGTGTGTGGGTGTGTTACATGCCCAGTTGGGCGATGTACATAAATAACCGAGGATCCGCAATGTGATAAAAAGGACTGAATGGACAATGCAGTGCAAGTGAAATCTCAACAAGCAGTGTACATCCTAATACATACAAAAATGGTGCTTTATAGCGCAGTGGAAGACTTAGATACAAGTCCTCAC